AGTGAGAATATATGAGCAAACAAAACATACCCAATTACATTCTTCCTTTCCTCATTTTCTGCATTTCCTCAGGTGCAGACCCGGGTTACAATAAACACCACCTGTCTGACTTGTGACGTCCTTTTCAGCTGTTAGCCCTTGCACTTTTAAAATCCAAATTTAGGACCATCTCAGGCAAAATAAATAAATAAATAAAAATTCAGCAAGTGGCTGAGACAGAAATTACTACAAGAAACCAGTATACACACCACTAGGAATTGAGACATGACCCATAGCCAAAAAAAAAATCCTATTCACAATGGACTTCTTGCAGTTTAATCTCCTTAAAACATCCGGGGTTGGTCCATTTTGAAAACAAATGTGTGGGATATTACCTTTCCATTAACTTTGACAACTACAACTGAGATGATATATTTTTTCTCCTAAATTTCTATTTGAAATTCAGATCTTGTCTGCCACCCCTTTCCACCAGGGATGTTCTGGACGACCTGAACTGGGACTGGACAATTTGTGACCTCTTGTGTATTTTCAGGTGGTTTCATTGCCTTCCCAGCACAGGCAAGGAGCAAACTCGTGGCCGCAGAGCCCTCTTGTGGACAACCGGTCTGTTCTAGCAGGAGGAGATTTTTGTGTTCCTTTTTAATTTTTTATTTTATTTTATTTTTTTCATAGGAGTTACAGGAAGAAGAACATCCTAAGGATTGCTGTGGCAGGGAAAATCTAGACAAGATGTCCTGCTGACGCAAGCATCTGCTTCACCCAGCTTGGAGTTTCCATAAGTCTCTTCACCCTGAGAGCTGAAACAAAGAAACTGATATTCCTCTCATCTTTGCCTAATTCAATATGCTCAGTTAGGAAAGTTTTGACAATGCTCCTGGCCAAGCAGTTTCACCACTTCTATTTGAATATATAACTGTTCCATCTGCATTTCACAAACTGAACCAATGTCTCTACCAATAAAGGCAGTGAAAGATGGGTATTTCAGATAATGATTCTAACATTCCTGGAGTTTTATGTTATTTTCTATTACAAGGACTGCAATCATGTCTTTTGGAAAAGTTACTTTATTTGTAATAAAAAAGGCTTCTAGAACCTCATGAGACTCAACAAGATCAAGTGCAAGGTCCTGCACCTGGGTCGGGGCAACCCCTGGTACCAATAAAGGATGGGGAATGAAGAGATTAAGAGCAGCCCTGCTGAGAAGGACTTGGGAGTACCAGTGGGTGAAAAGCTGGACATGAGCCAGAAATGTGTGCTGGCAGCCCAGAAACCAACCATGTCCTGGGCTGCATCAAAAGAAGCATGGCCAGCAGGTCAAGGGAGGGGATTCTCCCTCTCTACTCTGTTCTTGTGAGACCTCCCTGCAGTGCTGTGTCCAGTTCTGGTGTTCTCAGCACAGGAAAGACATGTAGCTATTGGAGTGAATCCAGAGGAGGCCACAAAGATGATCAGAGTGCTGAAGCACCTCTCTTATGGAGACAGGCTGAAGGAGTTGTGGTTTTCATCCTGGAGAAGAGAAAACTCTGGGGAGATCTCATTTACAGTGGCCTTCCAGTATTTGAAAGGGGCTTATAAGAAAGATGGGGACAGACTTCTTAGCATCTGTAGTGGTAGGGCAAGGAGAAATGGTTTTAAACTAAAATAGGGTAGATTTAGACTAGATAGAAGAAGTAACTTTTTTACTATGTGTGTGGTGAGACACTGGCCCAGGTTGCCCAGAGAGCTGGTAGATGCCCCACTCCTGGAATCATTCAAGGTCAGGTTGGATGGGGCTCTGAGCAACCTGATGTAGTTGAAAGTGTCCCTGCTCACTGCAGAGGGCTGGACTAGATGGCCTTTAAAGGTTCCCTCCAAACCATTCTAAGAATAAAGGTTACCAACATACTTGTATGTACAGGAAAATCACTCATCCAAGTATACACCTGGGGAGCTTCACAGAAGGCAGAAAAGTACAGTAGACAAACTCAGAAGTAGAGACATATTTAGCTTTGGATGGTGCTGCCTTTCTCTATCCTTTTGTCACTTTTTGTGCATATAAACCACATTTTTGCAAACAATAACTGGAAGGGAGCAGGGCTGGCCCAGTAGTGGCTGCCTGGATCAACAAAGAGCCCATCTCACCAGATGGTGATGGAGCAGGTCTGAGATCAGGTTGGGAACAGATCAGAAAGCTGTGGTCAGGATCAGGCCCCAGGAGAGTAGCTAAGGCACAGCCCAATGATTGATGGGCAAGCCTATGGTGCTGAGGCAGGCCTGAGGCCAGGGCAGGTGGTCCGCCCATGGCTCAGGGGGGGTAAGGGTCCTGGTTAGTGGGTCCATAGCCAGGCACAGTCTGTGCTGTGATGCTGCAGGGCTGCATATCAGGCAGCAGCCAACCACAGAACTGATAATTTGCATTAAGAGTCTAATAATTATTATTTGAGATCTATTTTTTTAAAAAAAATAAATATAATTAATGAATGTTGTCTTACACACACTCAGTTGCCTCATTTTCCTGGTGGTGTGCTCACCCTTCCCCTGCTCTCTCTAAAGCAGATAATTTCATTCTGGGATTGTGGAGTGTGTTAGAGCAAACTGTCCTTTGGCCAGAGGAAAGTTCCCTGCAAATACAAATTTGTGTAATTTCAGGTTGGGAATATTTAACTTTTCTAGATATTGAATACCCACATTTGCAGAAAATGTAAACCTTTAACTGACCTTTGAAAGAAAAACAATGGACTGGGAATCTCAACCAAATCAAGATTAAGCCCTGTCAGCTTTGAAGATCAAATTAGCATGGGTATCTGCACAACATTTTTCTAATCAAGCACAACCATTAGCAATTTACAACCACTACAGATGTAGGGAGCCATGTTATCACAAAAAATGGCAAAAAAAGCAACAAGCTGTGGCATACGCCCTCACCTGTGGTATGTGCCCTCACTAACATTGAAAAGAGTCCACTTGGTGTGAAAAAGTGTATGGTGCCAATATGGACCTTAGAAGTCTGGTCTTACATCACAGGAGACAAAACCTAGACCCCTGAAGTACAGTCTGTCAGGAAAAGTAACAAATAGGCATGTTTCCAGTCTATGGACCACAAGGTAGTTACTTGACTTAATGAACTGAGCAGCTACTATGAATTAAGGGCAGATTCTGTCACTTACAGCTTATGGACTGTTAAGTATGGTGGGTAAACATGAATGTCCACTACTGGAGGAAGAAGAAAATTCAAATATTTCCAGTGAAGGACTTGAGGATGGCAATTCAGGTGTTATCCTCCTCACAGTCAAAAAAATATGACTTTAATACCCAAGAAACAAAAGGGAGAGCATAACACCACGATAAAGTGATAGAATCCAACCACATTTTAGTTTTAATTGCATGCCTCTTACTGAGATTTCTTCTCCACAGAAGCATTCTATGTGCAGTCTTACTATTTCTTTTTTTTTTCCCTAATAATTACATCAAGACTAATAATGATTCTTGAATTAGACTGTTAATGTATGAATGGCTTGATACATCCATATAAGGTGTGCTGATTCTTTGCCCATAAACAAGACTTTGAGCACAATACCAGCTATTGCAATGATCCATACATGTACATACACACAGACACATATAGAGTGTGCACATAGATACATGTATGTATGCCCATTCCATTAGCACAACCCCACTGTGATCAGGCACTGAGGAGGAACAGGATCAGGGCACACTGTACTATTCATATTTTTGTGAGTGTTTTGTGTTTTCTTTCCAAGTTTATCTGTGTGGCTCTCCATGTGTGTGTATGTAGATACGTATACTATGTATTTGTGTACTGGATGTCTGAATACGAGTGCCTTTTGGGAGTACATGCTCAGCCTTACTACTGGCTGGACCAGGGAGCATGGAGCTGCAGCAGCCTCCCTGGACTACTGGATTCAGCAAATCCCAACACTTTCAGGCCTCGCATGAGAGATCCGCTGCGTACTTCTTATGCAGGACTACAAGTTTTTGGCAGCATCTGAGAGCTCATCAGAATAGTTGAGAACAATCTCTTCAGGGCAAATATGATCAATGTTATCCTCAGTACTGGTTTACTTCTAATTTAATTTACATTCTTTTGCTATTAACAGCCTCAGAACATGGATAGTTGAGCAGTAAACAAAAAGGAATAAAATCTCCTATTGCTCTGGGAGATGGCCACCAGCACCTGCACTGTCTCTGGCTAGGATGGAATCAACATTCCTCCTAGCAGCTCAGAGTGTTGCGTTAGACTTGTAACTAAATAGTGTTAACAATACATGGGGTAAGCATGTAGTATAGAATGACCCGGTTGGTCATTTGGATCAAATTCCTTTGTGAAGCTGTGGGGAGCTCTCCCAGCTGTATTTCCAACCTCCTGCCAGACCCAGCCTGCTCCACGGGGGAGCAAAGTGACAAACAGTGAAGGCCTTGATGTTGTGCAAACACTGTTCAGCTCAAATACTGGTGCATTATCAAAGGTTGTTTTGGTCACAAACACAAAACACAGCACCATACTGACTGCTATGAAGAAAATTAACTATATTGCAGCCAGACCCAGTGCAATAATTGACTTCACTTTTGGTGAAACCCTTTGGGCCTAATGATACGACTTTTCTTTTTCCCCCCTCAGTTTATAAGCAGTGTTGGCAAGAACCTAGCAGAGAGGCGCAAGTAAGACTTGAGAAAAGCAGTCTTTAAGCCCTGAGAAACTGTTCACTCATCAAGAAACCCTTCCTTCCTTACGAAGGAAAGCAGCACACTAATTTCTGAGTTCAGACTCTTCCCAGCACACTCTGGAGCTCACTCTTGAAGCCGCCTCTGAGGGATTATCCATAGTACCTATGGAGACAGTGGGCTGGGTAAGCTGCTCTGGAGACTTTGCACCTCCTCATCCTCACCACCAAACACGTACCCAGACCTGCTCTGTAACAGCCATTCGCCCTCCTTGCAGGCCCTCAGACCACCTCCTCCTCCTCTCCTCAGACGCCGGACCGTAGGAAACATTGGCGTCCATGGCCAGACCACCACAACCATCTCTTGTATTTATGGATGAAACCAACGCTGGGGGGCACCGAGAGATCCGAGTCCCTGGGCCCGCCCGGCTCATGGGCTACCTCAGCTTTTTGTTTCGCTTCAAATTGGAACAGACTATGCAGAGCTGTAGAAAAACCTTCCCTGCCTAGGACTGGAGCGCTCTGGTCCACGTAGTGGATGCCTAATCTGCTTTTTGAAGCCCTGACAAACCACGGCCGTTCACACCCCACCGACCGCCCAGGCCCGCGCGGCCGCCTCAGAGCGCCGGTCACCACCG